AAATAACTTAATTTATTACAAAAGGCACATGTTCTGCAAGACGAAGGTAATCAATTCGTACCTAATATCGTCCGATTTCGACATTTTTTCGTTCCTTTAAGACAGACTTTATTGCGTAGTATGTTAGAAATAGATGTTCGTTATATATTTTTCAAATATAACTTTTGAAAACTTTTCGATATTATTTTTTCGAGTAAAGACGCTAAGAGGTATGAAGTGTTATTTTATGAAATGTCTAATAATTTCTTAATAATTTGTTTGTTAACTGCATCAGAGTGGAAGCAACATTACTATATATACATATGTATGTACACACATACAGTGATGAACTAAAGTATTGGCACAGCAAGAAATTTCAGCCTTTTTTTAACCACTTATGAAAATATTTTTAATTGATAAAAAAATTATAGACAGAGGGATTTTTTTCAATTCAATTCATTTTATTATCTTTTGTGTTAAATTAATACTAATTATAAATTAAAAAAGTACAAATTTTCACCAAACAAAAGTATTTCCACACTTAAATTTTACAAACAAGCACTTACCAACAGAAAGCACTTAAACGAAAAAATAACGACTCTTCAATTCTACAAAAAAAAAAACAACAAAAACCAAACAATATACCGAATACGTCTAACCGCTTCTCTGTACTTAACACGAGCTAACAAGACGACATCTCTAATTCGAACAATAATAGAAATGAACGAGAATCAGCAGCTGCTGTGCGTAACTCTCACAAACCACTACCTTCATACCAGACGTAAATGATATAAATAAAATGATCACCAGTTGGTAGAGAAAACTTTGCATACAAATCAGGCAAAGATGAACATGCCCGAGTGCTGCCTATTGGCAGCGATTCTTATAGGAAACTAGTGACATTTTTAGACAATAAAAACTTTGTTTTCCACACTTATCAGTTAAAGGTAGATAAACCGTACAAAATTGTTATTAAAAACATTCATTATTCTACACCAACAATCGACATCAAACCAGGTTTAGCAGAGAAAGACCATACTGTGAAATATTGTAAACGCAAAAAGTAAAGAAAAAAAATTTGTTCGGGATGGCTTCCAACAACTCTCGATCGAATACAATTAATTCTTCGAATTCCGGTCCAACATTGTACAAAAGTAATGTCACCTATGCAGATATCACAAAAGGACAAGCAAGCTTTTACACAAATAACCAAAACAGCTTAGAAAAGTTAGAAGAACTAATTTCTAAACAAATTGAGCTGAACTCAGCACTGATGACAATGTTTACCTCCCTTATATCTAAATTATGCAATTAAGTCTTAAAATGGCAGCATGGAACGCAAATGGACTTATTAACTATTTATTAGAAATTTAACATTTTATCTTAACCAAAAACATTAATATACTCATTATATCCGATGGTAACGCAAATGTCAGCTCTGCTATTATTATTAAGTCTACTTTAAAATACAAAGTACTTGAGTCGGTATAGTTACATTTCATTCAAGCAGCGACTGTCAGTGGTGGAATTGTCATAACAGCACTATATCTACCTCCTCGTTACAGCATAATCAAGCAAGCATTTAATACATTTTTTAACCGATCGGGCCCAAGATTTGTAGCTTAATGCCAAACTACCTTGGTGGGGCTCACGCCTAACTAATCCCAAATACCGCGAGTTGTATAAATTTATTACAGAAAATAACTTTAGAGTTTTCTCCGCAGGCGGACCCACTTACTAGCCTACTAATCCTGGCAAAACTAGTGATGTGATTGATTTTGCAGTATATTCTGGTATTGGCTCAAATCTTCTCAAAATAATGACGATATCGGCTCCGACCCTTCTGCTCTAATTACAATATTAATTTTAATATACCACTTACTACTAGGAAACTGCGGATTTTAAATAAAAAATCCAACATAAAATTGTCTCAAGTCTGGGTAAAGTCTCATATAAACTTCAACATGGAGATAAACTCAAATAGAGCCTTAAATGATGTTGTGGAGAACTTTACCAACAAAGTACATAAAGCCGCCTTTTTCACAATCTTCAATACACAATCGTAACAAAACTTTTCAACCATATAGAGATAAGCTATATACTGATTCATTATCTTAGATGGTAAAAAAAGAGAGAAGGCTTCGAAGAATTTGGCAAAGGAGCAGAAATCCGTATGACAAAAAAGAACTTAATAAAGCAATCAAGGAACTTAAGCTTAAACTAGCTGAAATGAAAAAATAGTCGATTGGAGAATATCTTAAAAATGTTGATCCAAAGAAAGACGATGAATATAACATATGGAAGGCCACAAAATAAGAGATGTTAACAACTCATGGTGTAGATCAATCATCTTAATACCACATTTCAACCATTTGATATTAACATTGACAGCCAACGGCGGAGTGATAAAGATTTTATTGACTCCCCGTGTCCAATGGATAACACCATGCTCTTCGTTAAAATCTCAGAAGTTTCAAGAATGAAAAGTACAAGGTCTCCTGGTCATGATAATATTGATGCTTTGACAATTAAGCAACCTACAAATAAATGTTTATTGTTTTTAGTGATGATTTTCAACTGTAGCTTTAGGCTTAGCCACTTCCCTACCCAGTGAATATGTGCTGAAATAATCATGGTACCAAAGCTATAAGCCAAGCAAGCATTTGACAGAGTCTGGCACTCAAGACTGCTATATAAAATTAAACTTCCCACCCCATTCTTTCTTAGATCTTACCTAAGTTATAAACATTATTACGTTAAAATTCAAGATTCAGTTTCAGACATAAACTTAAGTTAAAAGCTGGAGTTCCACAATGTAGTGTATTGGGTCCAACACTTTATACGATTTATACTGCAGATATGCCAATAATAGAGGAAACCAATATAACTGTTGCTACTTATGCAGACGACACTGTACTACTTTCTTCATCCTTCTCTACAATCAAGGCTGCAGAAATTGTACAAAGGCATTTGAATGAACTACAAAACTGGCTTACCAAATGGAACATTTCGGTCAATGCTTCAAAATCTGTCCATGTCACCTGTACATTCAGGAAAGAAGAGTGTCCAAACCTCAGCATCAATCAAACCGTAATTCTTAGATCGAATAGTGCCAAGTATCTCGGACTGCAGTTAGATAAAAGATTAACTTGGCGTGAACGTATTACAGTCAAAAGGAAGCAGCTCAAGATTAAAACCAGAAAAATGTATTGATTGCTTGGCCCCAAATCTAAACTTAGCATTGAAAATAAAATGCTTCTGTATAATACAATGTTGAAACCAGTTTGGACTTACGGAATTTAAATCTGGAGTACAGCGAGTAGAACCAGTATAGTTGTGATACAAAGATTTCACTCAAAAACACTCCGATTAATAGCAAATGCTGTACTTAAAAACAGCCATGGTTACAGACGAAATTAATAGGTTTCGCAGAAGATATATCGAAAAACTTAGCAACCATCCAAACACACAAGCTATCAACCTACTAGACAATGGCGAAGAAGTACGACGACTACAAAGACTGCAGCCTCTAGACTTCCCATTCAGACCCTAAAATAAAAAAAAATAAAAAATAAAGAATTACAGACTTTAATTTGAGGACAAATTGCATTTAATGCATCAACCTAAATCTAAGTTATAGTACAATTAACTTTTTGTCAAGCGACAGATTGTAAATAAATAAGATAAATAAACAAGATAAAAAAAAATGTATGCAAATCGTTTGGAAGCTGTCATCAAACACAATTTTTTACCATTTAATAAAATTTTTTTGTGTTTTTATGAAGTGAAATTAGTACCTTTTTTCATTAATAATTAATATTAATTTAACATAAAAGATAATAAAATGAATTGAAGTGAAAATAGTTGAAGATGTGTCCCTCTGCCTACCATTTACGTTCTTGGTTATATATTAATTCCGTTGCAACAAATGAACTTACTCTTGTGGACACTTGTACGTCATTTTATTTACTAAAGTAAAGAAAAGTAAGAATGCATTATTTTTTATGTGTTAAAATGATGAAAAATATTAATATTAACAATAAATTAATTAAACAAAATCATTTTAAACGTTACTGAACATTACTTTAAGTGATATTAAAGTGTTCTGAGTGATTTATTAGCTTTTATTCGGGAATTTCGGTTGGTCGAGATTCTAGCTTTAAAAACAAATTACTCGAAAAATTTAAGTTTTTAAGTTGTATTATACTTTTGTGATGCGAATGACCTCCTCTACTTACTTACTTACTTTACTGGCGTGGACACCGCTTGCGCGATTATATCCGATTTAACAACATTGCGCCATTCGTTTCTTCTTTTTTTTGTTTGGCGCCAATTCAAAATACCAAATACAGCCAGGTCCTTCTCTACCTGGTCTTTCCAACGGAGTGGACGTCTTCCTATTCCTCTGTTTCCATCGTCGGGTACTGCAAAAAAACCTTTCAAAGCTGGAGTATTCGCATCCATTCGGACCACATCACCTAGCCAGCGTAGCTGCTGATTCTTGATTCGCTGAACTATACCAATGTCGCCCACCCCTGACAATATGACACTGTAAATTGAGGCTCCAATTTTCAAAGGCTTCAATTTGCAAAAAAAAAAACCTTGTGAATATTAGACTACCCGCCTTTTTCACTGATCCCCTCAATCACCTGACCTATACCCAATCGAACATGCTTGGGTTGAGGTCAAGTGCGCCATTTCTGATTTGCCAGATGAGTGTTACATTATTATCGATTTATGGCAGAAAGCTCAAAATGACTGGCAAAATATTACCGACGATTTCTGCAGAAAGGTGGTCGAGTCCATGCACAAACAAATTAAGGCACTAATCAAAGCAAAAAAGAGTTATTTTAAAAATTAAATTAAAAGAATCATTTATGTCAACGAATTGATCAAATGAACAGAGCAGATATTTTTTAACAATTCTAAAGTAGAAAGCAAACATTTGTCTCGAAAAAAATAAGTTACTTTTAATTTATTATTTTAAATTATTTTATAATAATTCAAATACGACTTTTGAAAATTTTCCGTCATTTACTTTTTCATTTGAAGACGCTAAGAGGTAAGACTCTTTATTTTACATTTTTTCTAATAAATAATAACATAAATCTTTAATACAGATTGACTGAATAATTTTAGAACAGTAGCAGAACTCAAATAGCGAATAAACAACAAATGTGGTAAATATGTATACATATGAGTATGTATACAAATTTGGATGCATTGCGCTTATTGTTGCAGTTTTTTGTTTCGGTAATATCAAAATAATGTAATTTCTTTATTACAGGTCGATTGAATGTATTCCAGTATTCCAGGAATTTAAACAGCAAAATAATAATAGTATATGCGTACATACATATATTTATATACTTATGTATGTATGAATAATTTTTTGTTTAACATAAGTATTATGTAATTGTTTATTCCAGGTGCAAAGCAGAAGACTCGATAGGGCCATCACATTAACGCATCTGAACTGATTGATCAACAATTCATTCAAGAAACCCTTCAGCAGATACCCAAAGTGAGCTTTGCAGCAAATATAAAGGCTCTATATGTGGTCAAAATATAAGTTTGTGTTGAGGTTGTAGCTACGGCCAGAGATGTGTAAACCGAATTGTAATAATGAGAAACATTTGGCGGTAGCTTCAAAAGTGTGAATAAAAGTGCTTGTAAAAATAGTAATTGTGCATTTATGGGCCTTACGTACATGTGTATATTTATGTGTACCAAATGGCAATGTTGTTTGAAAAGTTCTGTTTTGCTTAATTACTTCAACTAAATTAGTTCAAATGAATAATAAAATAATGTTTTTTTTTTAGTTATCATTCAGTTTCATTAAATTTACTAAAAAAAATTTACTTCTTTTTGTGAAAATTATATATGCATCTATTCCATCCATTTGAATTTATTTCAATCAAATTTGCTTTTTATGTAAAAATTTTTAATTTTTGATATGCATGTGCCAGTCATACGTATACACGTGTGTAGCAATTGGCAATGTTGTAACAGAAGTCCTTTTTTGTTTAAATATTTAACTTAAATTAGTTTGAATCTATTTTAAAATAAATTTGATTTAATTATCTTTTAATTCCAAGAAATTTATTTAAAAAAAAAAAACATTTCTGCAAAATTGCTGATTGCCATACAAGTGAGACTTTTATTCTTATTTTGTATTTCAGATAACCTGAAGGAATAAAGATGTCACCAGGAAATACTTGAAATATGCTGGAATTACAAAGCTTAAAGAATTTATTTATTGTCTAATATGCGTTAGCATATATTTATATAAAATCAGAGATTTCGAGTTTATGTTTAAAATGAATTGATTTTTTATTAATTTAAAAAAAACTTTGTATTTAAAATTGTTTTTTATTTAAAAATTTATAATTATTTAATTAATTTATTAATTAAAGTCCTATACTCCTGAATTTATATGTATATCTTGAAAGCTAAGTAAAAATAGTAGAACAAATTAGTATATAAATAATACTCTGGAGTATAAAATTATATTTATTTTCATGCATTTATTTGTAAAAGGAATTATAACCTTATGAAATAAAAATGTAAGTTATATTTTAAATAAACAAAAATAAACTTGAAAATTGCTATTTTTCATTTCAAAGGAAATAAAAGGTCAAAAGCCTATGGGTAACAGCTCGGGTAAAAAACACATTTGTTTGTAATAACGAGTTAATAACAAAGTCATGTGTTTTTAATAACCAGTTGCTGGCAGATCGAGTAACATACCTGCTTATTTTTAATAACAGCTGTATTACCGATACGGTAACAAAAAATTGGAAAATGCGAATATATATCGCATACCAATAAATACAATGCGAGTGAGAAAGAAAATGTGGGGAAATTTTTTATTTTTTCCCACGGCTAGAGGAAAAGTAACAATTCAAATCACATGTTTTTTTTTTAATTTTTATCACTAATAACTTTCTGCACACACCGCTTCGAATTTTTAAATACGATTTTTTTACAGCAGAGGCATCACCCGTTTCCCAAAAGTTCGTCAGCACATAATGAAAATATGCGAAAATCGATTTTTATATTTAATATTTTATAAAAATGCTTAGATTTTTTTTTTAATTTTTAACGTTTTTGACATGCTATTCGTATTACATGACACCAACACGTCTATTCTGTAGTAGTAATAAAATTTACCATTCAATAAATTTTGTTACTATTTCGTATTCTGAGTTCAGAGTCAGTCAGTAAATTTTGTTAATCGAGAAATAGGAAGTAAAAAACAATCTGCTGTTTGATATTGTGTTGTAAATTTGAAAAAAAAATAAAATAAAATAAAAACCAAAATGTATACGCATACGAGGTTGACAATTAAGTAATGAGACTGATTATATTGCCGCGATTTTAGTTACGCTGCTACTTTAACTTTTCCTTCTCCCAGCATCCTTCTGCTCTCCATTGATGTATTTACCATCGCTCTAGCTTGTTTAGTATGCCTGCTGTGTCGTGTTGAGTAAACGTGGGTTCGTGGAGCTCGTCACTGTTATTACAGGTGATGAGAGCTGGTTTTTTTAAAGCGAGGTCAAAGCTCACAATGGTTGTCTGCGCACGTCCCCTAGAATTCATTGAAGATGAGTCATAGTTGCTAGGCTTCGATATTTTTGTTAACAAATAATATTAATTTACATTATTAAAATTTTTGCAAAATTATAATACATTTGTTCGACATTAAACTGTCCAAGATGTTTGATTGTAGTTTTTAATATTTCTAAAAAAATTTGGATAAAACCTTGCATTTTTAATCAAGGTGCCGCTTTGAAACTGAAAGTTCGCTTTTAAAATGTCAATTAAATAATCATATAAAACACACACACTTTTAATTCCTATAAACAATTTAAGAACTAACCAAACAAAATGTCCTCAAGGTCAAAATAAGCCATATTTACTGAAGGGCAGTTGCGAAAAATAACATCTCCTTAGGAGGCAATTCAATAGCGTTATAATCCGCTAAACCGCGTTCATATCGGTATTTATAAAATAAAGGTTATCCTCTACCCTGTGAATCCACTATAAACAAGTGGCTACAAAAGTTGAGGTTTGATTTTTTCCCCTATGATAACACTTTAGAGGCAGTCAAGCTTTGTGTTTTGTCGATCGGCGAAAGAAAATTCATTGTGCGTATGAGTACGACGCGGTGTCAGATGCAGTGCGGAAACCATGTAACTAAGCTCGTGGCTTGAAAATTTAATGGAAGTATTCCATTTTTCACTCCTTTGACTGCAAAATGTCGAAACAGATCATTAACAACATACTTGTAGAATTATACAAAATTCGATATCCAGTCAATGGTATTATATCCGACATGGGCCAGTCAGATCAGAATGGAGAAACCTGGGTATAAATTGTGGTGATCATAATTTATTTGCCTTCATATAGAGTGGCTCACAGCCAAAGTGATTCGGCCTTGTAAGAAATAGTATAATAAGTTTAATTTAAAAATTCAATAACTTTCCCAAAAAAATGGAATGCCAATTAATAGCGGTAGATATACACATTTCATTTATGCTTTAAAAATTTTATATTTTATGTTATTAACAACAAAAACAAAATCCTATATTAAATTGTACCTCACAGCGATAATGATACAGTAACAAAAAAAATTAATAAATATCAAAGAACAAAACTAAAACAGTATGTTAGCTAAAATTTAGTAGGATACCCCTTGTTGTCTATGACTGCTTTCATACGTTTGGGCATGGATTCCACTAACTTCTTCGTGTAGTCATGTGAAATATTTTTCCATTCTATTTGAATGGTTTTTTTTTAAGCCAGTCTGATCGAATCTCATATTTTTGAATCTCTCGTTCCAAAACTGACAACAGATTCTCAATCACATTCAAATCTGGAGAGTGCGCTGCGGTTTGTACTATGTGCGGACAGTTCCAAATAAGCCAACTTTGCACAACGCCTGATTTGTTGTTCGGATCATTATCTTGATAATACTGAAACTTGATGCGAATATTTAACTATGAAGCACTTTGCAACAAATACACAGTCTTAATCATAGTACTATTGATAAAATCCATATTTCCAACTTCATAAGCCTACATGCGTCCCCATACCATTACATGCCCTCCACCATTTTTGCAGTGGCAACGCAGCATATGGTTTTCTCCATACATAGCTCTTTCCTTCTGATCTAAACAGTTTGAATTTTCTTTCGCCGCAAAATTTGCGGTGTCCCAGAAACTCCCATCTCTATATAAATGCTTCTTTGCAAATTTCAGCCTAGCACTTTGATTTTCAGCACTGACATATGGTTTATATCGAGCTGTGGGGCCATTGAAATCAGCTTCTTTGAGCTTTCTTCGTATGGTTTCTGGGTTATAGCTTTCCCAAGATATTTAAGCACTTCTTTACCTACAGCAGTAGTACTTAAGTGGAGGTTTTCGCGTATTTTCCGAACATCGGGAATCACTTTCGTTGAATATTTTATTATGAGATGACTTTCGGGAACATAGTGTTCTGTTATAAGCTAAACAGTTCCTTGGGTCAATTTCACCATTGCCGCGATTTTTCGCTGGTTTTTGCCATCTATACAATGTTTTATGATTAGCTCGCGAACTTCAATACTTGTTTTGGGACCCATTTTGATCTACACTCACCCAATGTCAATACTATAATGTCAAAGTTATCACATATTACACCAAGTCTGCTCGTCATTATAGCGGTATTTATTTTGCATTCAAAAATCGTCGGCAACAAATCGCCGCCACTAACGGTAAATATTTGGGCTTCATTTTTGCTGTGAGGTACAATTTAATACTGAAGTGTGTTTTTGTTGTAAATTACATAAAATAAACATAAAATATAAAATTTTTAATGTATCAATGAAATGTGTATATCTACCGCTATTAACTGGCATTCGTGTTTTTTCGAAATTTATTTAAATGTTGCTTATAATACTATTTCTTAGATAGCTGCATCACTTTGGCTGTGAGCCAGTGTATGTTTGTACGTTGTGTGATTTCAGGTTTGAGATTTTGTAACAGTGTTGACACATCAGATTTTTTCGAAACAATTAACAACTGGTTTGACGTTTTAAAGCCTTCATACAAGAGTAGGTAGCCGGTCAATATTATTACATTGCCAAAAAGCGGTTTTATTAAATAAAAACTTATTACGTGAGCTGTACAAGTTTGTCAACGGGAAATATTACCTGCAGTTGAAATATTTTTCGGGACCATTCGCTGGTATGCATGAAAATCTCAGTTTCATGCAATCAATCAAATACGAGGTAATACTAAAGTAATATACACTAGACAGCATTTGAAATTATAAATGTTACCTATTTGCAACAGCAGAGTATTCATTTACCCGCTACATTTGTTCAACTTGTATTTAATTTCACAAAGCATGCTATAAAGAAGCACCGTTAGGTAAATAAACAATTCGAAGAAAATTTTAAATTCTTATTTATGTTTACAAAATATTTAGCCGATGAAAAGTGTTTAGTCTGTGCTGGTTACCAGCCACGCGCGCGTTATATGAAAGTATAACTTGAGTTTGTACGCATAATTTAGTTATAGTTTTCGTTGATGGGTGGGATTAGTTGTAGTTTTATAGCCTCAGGAAAGGAGTGAAAAGATATAAGACAGAAATATAAGCATTAAAAAATAAATCAGATCAAAAAGTTG